CAGACTTCTCGGTGAAGCCCGAAACAAAGAAGTCATTGAGCATCTCAGCCATTTCCAAGTGTCCTGTTACTGTTTCTCCCTCCTCACTGACTAGTGGGCCTACCCTCTCCTTGGTCTTCCTCTTGCTTCTAATGTATTTATAAAAAGTCTTCTTGTTTCCCTTTATTCCCGTAGCTAGTTTGAGCTCATTGTGTGCCTTTGCCTTTCTAATCTTGCCCCTGCATTCCTGTGCTGTTTGCCTATATTCATCCTTTGTAATTTGTCCTACTTTCCATTTTTTATATGACTCCTTTTTTATTTTTAGATCATGCAAGATCTCGTGGTTAAGCCAAGGTGGTCTTTTGCCATATTTTCTATCTTTCCGACACATCGAAATAGCTTGCTTTTGGGCCCTTAACAATGTCCCTTTGAAAAACTGCCAACTCTTCTCAGTTGTTTTTCCCCTCAGTCTCGATTCCCATGGGACCTTACCTATCAGCTCTCTGAGCTTACCAAAATCCGCCTTCCTGAAATCCATTGTCTCTATTTTGCTGTTCTCCCTTCTATCCTTCCTTAGAATTGTGAACTCTATGATTTCATGATCACTTTCACCCAAGCTGCCTTCCACTTTCAAATTCTCAACCAGTTCCTCCCTATTTGTTAGGATCAAGTCTAGAACAGCTTCCCCCCGGTAGCTTTTTCAACCTTCTGAAATAAAAAGTTGTCTCCAATGCAGTCCAAGAACTTATTGGATAATCTGTGCCCTGCAGTGTTATTTTCCCAACATATATCTGGATAGTTGAAGTCCCCCATCACCACCAAATCTTGGGCTTTGGATGATTTTGTTAGTTGTTTAAAAAAAAGCCTCATCCACTTCTTTCTTCTGGGTAGGTGGCCTGTAGTAGACTCCTAGCATGACATCACCTTTGTTTTTAATCCCTTTTAGCCTAACCCAGAGACTCTCAACACTTCTGTCTCCTATGTCCATCTCCACCTCACTCCAAGTGTGTTCATTTTTAATGTATAAGGCTACACCTCCTCCCTTTTTCCCTGTCTATCCTTCCTGAGCAAGCTGTGCCCATCTATACAAACATTCCAATCATGTGTATTATCCCACCATGTTTCTGTGCGATATGGTGCAGTAAAGAAAGCTAAAATACAGTGTTTCTGTAATTTTACTTCTCCATGTAAGCCCTAGCTGAACCTGTCACGGGGATGTTAGATAGTTCTGACTGGAGGAGGAGACAGGACCCCATGTGGGATAGAATGTGAGAAATGCACAAATGGGATGGGAGATGGGGCTGAGTGATAGTGTGAGAGGGGAGAAGTGGGACTGGGTTGGGGCAGAAAGAAGGGGAGGCAGAACCAAAATGGGGCCTATGAAAGGGAGGTGGGAGCCAGGGAAGGGAGCGTGGGAGAGGAGCAGTAGGGCACGGTGAGAGACCCATTCTTAGAGTGTTCAGACAAAGTGCACAACTAGAGCATTTTTGAAAGCTCTGAATTTTTCAAGAGCTGCAGAGCGAGTCTTTGTCTCCAATAAACACTTTTAGGAGTCTTTTATTGCTATGTTAGCAAGTTTCTCTGCCTGTATGAGAAACCATGACTGTTGTTCTATATGCCATTCTCCTAACTTGCATAGTGACTTTGCTGCTGTGTAGTAGGGTGGGTGTTTTAATGGAGTAATAACTATTAGCAAGTGCTGCCAGGAGATGCCTTTCTGTGCTCTGTGGTAGTAGGATTACATGGGGAATGGCTTTCTGCATTGTTTTGTCTCATGATTTATTAATGATCGGTATTAGTTATGGTGGAGTTAAGGGAGGAATAAATTGTTGGGCTATAGCTATTAAAGAACATCATGACTGATCTGCACATTATACCGAGACCTTTTCTTTCCATGTACTTTGTTACCCATACACATGCACATCCACATGCTTACATTCAAAGTAGGGTTATTAATTTACATAGAGCAGGGCAGTCAGGCTAAAGTCTTCCAGGGACATCTGCTAGGGTTTGCACTTGCCTTTCCCCAGGCACGGAAAGGGGTGGGATGCTAGAGTGTAGGGGCAGTTCCGTACTTTCTATTTTTCTGACAGTGTTTTATTATGCACATGTTGCAGGCATAGTGCAGAAGACAGTTGTTGAGCCAACTGTGTTTGACATAATTTCTTGGATCCTTATTTACCCATCCACACTTTCTTTATGGAATAGTCTGCCCCCACATTTCATTTCCATTTAAATCTAGAAATAATCCAGCATCAGTTAGTTCCCTGTCCTTCTGCCACAGCCTGTCTCAGCCTTCAAAAGAGGACCTCATTTTTCTCCTCCTCAAACTGGAGCACTTGATCGGAGTGTTCCTCTTTTGTTCCCCTCAGCATGGACAAGAAGATCTTTTTTCTTTTTCCTGGAGCTCAAGTATCTCGGACTTTTTAGAACCTTCCAGCCTGCCCCATACTTACTCTGGGAAGTCCGCAGTTGTTAGCACCCACTAGAATGAAAATCAGAGCAGGGTTCAGAGCTACATCTGTAGTGTACCCTCCGGTAATGCCAAAGGGTTGAAATAAACACCCACTTTTTTCTGTTTTGTATTAAAACATGCATGGCAGGGAGTCTGAAAATGGAAACAACTTCTGTAGCTTGGCAAATTCCTGTGCTTTCCTGCTAGCCACTTAGTTTTGGGCCAAAGGTGTTGAGGGCATGCAATTAGAGTTCCCAGGGAAAGTACAAAGGGAGAAGGGGGTTCCTAGATTATGAGGATGGGACAATTAAAGGACAGGGCATGTGGAGGTAGCAGTAACAAAGATTTCTTATTGCAGCAAGGAGAAGTGCTAGTGATCTGTCTTCAGCCTGGTGCTCTGGTATTGGCACAGAGAAAAGCCACATTGAGCTTAGTCTTACTCAAAGCTGGCCTGTTAGGCATGATGGTGATGTTACCTGTGCACTTCTGGCACCATTTGCGAGTATCAGGGGGTAGCTGTGTTAGTCTGGGTCTGCAATGGTGACAAGGAGTCCTGTGGCACCTTATAGACTAACAGATGTACTGGAGCATAAGCTTTTGTGGGCAAAGACCCACTTCGTCAGATGCATGTAGTGGAAATTTCCAGAGGCAGGTATAAATACGCAGGCCAGAATAAGGCTGGAGATAACGAGGTTAATTCAGTCAAGGAGGGTGAGACCCACTTCTAGCAGCTGATGTGGAGGTGTGAACACCAAGAGAGGAGAAACTGCTTTTGTACTTGGCTAGCCATTCACAGTCTTTGTTTAATCCTAAACTGATGGTGTCAAATTTGCAGATGAACTGTAGCTCAGCAGTTTCTCTTTGAAGTCTGGTCTTGAAGGTTTTTTTCTGCAGGATGGCTACTTTTAGATCCTCTACTGTGTGCCCAGGGAGACTGAAGTGTTCATTTGCGAGTGTGGATTCCTGGTGTCCTGCAAGGTTGCTGTGGAGACCACATAGCAACTAGCCTGCCTGAAAGCTGTGCCTTAGATGTTCTTTCCTCCTGCCAGAAATTCCCATTCCTCAGCTAATACAATTGTGTTTCCTCTTCTCAACTTTTGACTTTCCCCCACCCCTGGAATCCCAAGAAGGATCAGGAAGCCTGTGGCCATTGCGCATGTAAATTATTAAACATTTAAATGCAAAAGCAGAACGATTTCTTGTATTGATCTTACAGGAAAGGCTCCAGGGGGCAGTGAGCTTTAATTATCAATTGCCGATTTATTGTCAGTTATGGCAGCTCTGCGCCTCCGTGCCGCAGTCCGGATTGTTCGCACAACAAACAGTTCTTGTTTCATTGTCTGGCACTCGTTCCATCCTGTGGTTTTGTTTCCTCCCCAAACAGCCAAGGCAGAAGGACCCCGTGGGGACAAGTCTCTATGCTACAGTTGTTCGTAAAGGCAGCCTCATCCCGCGTTATGTTGGAATGAATTACACTGGCTTGGAGGTAAGTCCTGCACTGAGAAGCCGGGAGAGGGATGGATGGTGCCAAGCAGGGCCGGCCTTAAGCCGATTCGGCCGAATTGAGCCCCGCGCCTAAGGGGGCCCCGCGCCCCTGAACCCGGAAGTGCCGGTGAGTTACAGAGCATGGGGCCCTGCTCCAGCAATATGTGGAGTTGGGTCTCTCCCCCGGCTCTGCCTGGAGCGGGCCCCGGATCCCCCCTGCCAGCCTCTCCACACGTCCTCCCACCCTGGCCCCAGAGCATCCCCTAAGCCCCGGACCATCCCTGCTGTGTGCGGCTCAGCATGGCTCCCCTTAGCCAGCTGCTGCTGCTGCCATGCACATTGCAGGTGGGCAGGGAGGACGTGACGTGACGTGACATGACGTCACAGCCCGGGATTTTAAAACTCTTCGGAGGCACGTTGCGGGGCTGCCTCCAGGGCCTGAGCGCAGACTCCGGCCCCGCAACGTGGAAGGCAGAAGGTAGGGAAGGGGCTTGGGCAGAGGAGAGGGGAGGGAAGGGGAAGGAGGGCGGGGCGGGATGGTGGGGAGGGGCTTGGGTGGAGGGGAGGGGGGGAAAG